CCAAACTGACCCTCGGGCGGGAGGGTCAAATTGACCCTCTGAGATCTCAGGAACTAAGAAAGCTAGAGACACCAAATTCACAGGCTGTGTTATTCTGTGCGTGAACTCACCTAGGTCAAAGTTTGAAGTTCCCCAGAACGTATATAACTGTTTCACAGTAAAACGTCACACGCACATTTAACGTCAGTGATTTTTCTTCACCTTTTGAAGGTCATGGTGACCAAAATCCTATAACACTGCTCTAAGTTTTGCATTTGAATTAGAGACAAATATTACGCTAGGCAGTAAGCTTCTAAAAACAAAATGTTGACCTGGGTCATTTTAGGTCAATGACCTTTTTTGACCTCTAAGAAGTCCATGGGAGATGCATAATGCGGTTCCTGCCATCAATGAACTCGAAATGGGCACCGAATTTATCCCATACAGAAAGCCCAAGAGTAATCAAACAGGTTGGTTTTGACCTTGGTATGACCCTCATACCTGACCTTAGGTCAACGTAATTTTCTCATTCAATTGTTGTGTTGCCAAAGAAAGCATCTCAGATGTGTATGGCTTCGTCTAACACTCTGTTGTTGGATCAGATTGAAGGATTCCCCAGAAATTGCCTTCGCTGAAACGATGGCCTGATTTTGATCTGCCATAGGTCAGCGAGCTTAAAAGGTACATCTAAATTTTGAATTTAAATCACTGCTCTATTTAATTGTCTACAGCTGTGCAAAATTTGACGTGGCTACGCCGCGCCTTTCGGAAACCATTCTGGAAAAACTTCAGGGGGTCAATTTGACCCTCCGCCCGAGCACGTGTTAAACTTTCGTTACCAACTTCTGCTGTGGATCTGTCATTGCGTGATCGGATGGTAGGAGCCAGGGCTCGTACACAACGAGCATGCTTAGCGTATGCCTGATCCCAGAAATCCATCCATTCAAGAGGTTCGAATGATATCTAAAAAGCATAGCATTTCCTTCGTGTTACTGTCCCTTTGGACAGAAGAGTTGTCCTGACTAGCCTTAGCCCTTATATCCGCCCTGTATGCACACAACTTTGATTAATATCTTGTTGTGCAGGTTAAGGAATGTGGGTAGAATAAGAGAGCATAGCTTGGTTTATTTTGTATATTTTTATAGCTCCATAGGCACATAGCTTATGTATATTTTTACATCTGCCTGCACGCCCTTTTCTTAAAGTCATCCTTATCCCCAGGTCACTACGCTCTGAGGCTGAATTCATGGTCTCGTTTAGTGGTTAAGGATTGAGGTCAGCCTGTGTAGAAAGTAAGAAAAAGCAGAATTCATCACCGGTTCCGATAACGGGATACACCTCTGTGTCAAGGTGTATTGCGTTATCTTAACTGTTTTACTATTGTAAGCGCAGCAAAACGCATTCGATAACGTTGCAGCCTTTCATGTGAATGCATCAAGCTGTTTGTTCTTTGCTATGGTCTATGTCAAGTGTACCATCACAGCGAGCATTGAGTTTCCCAGTTAACTTGCATTCTTTGTTAAAGGTCAAGAAAATGGTTGCCTTTTGTAGAATTCGGTGAATAAAGACGTTTTCAACTAGATATCATGGTCCCAAAAGTGGGAATGATGCTTACCATCACTGGCACTCCTACTCTCAAAAGTATAGATGCCATGGCAACCACGGAGCCCCCGCTCCTGAGCCCATATGTTTGTGAATGGGAGACGCGTCTTGGGCTGAGCTTGGGCTTTGGCTTTGGTCATGCTGAGACTAAAACTATCTGAAGTCACTGGCGTTACACATCCTGGGCTTGGAACTTACATGAAATGCTTGAAACCGATGTAAAAGATAATTTTTAAACTTCAGGAGCTTAGCATAAGCCGTTCTCGAGCCATGCCCGAAAGGATCACGTGGGATACATTACCACATTCATGAGAAGATTTAGCAAGAACATATCGTACAGAAGCTTTCATAGTCCATGCAGCGGTTTGTTGGGTAAGTTCTTGAACTCTTCACACACTGACACCCCTGTGGATCCCCGCTTGGTTTGGCCGGGGCCGGAATCAGATTAGATGCGTGCTGTATATAATTTCGTGAACGTGGTCTCAGGCGTTGTGGGTCTGCGCGCACAAGACGAATCTGCTCCGGCTCGAGCCCAGAATGTGCAAATAATGTAATTTCAGACTAGAGGCATGTTACTTCCCTTGTTGAGCTCGAGCTTGGCTGTATATGATGGTTATCGATGCACTGTGAAGGTGTGGAGTGTACGGCGTTATTATCTACGCGATTGGTGAAGAACGACACACGCGTAAGGTCGATTGAAACGTCGTTCAGGCATTCTGCCAGAATCCTGAAGGTTTATCTACATGACTGCTTCTAAGGCTAAAAAAAATGGATTTGAGGCCAAGGGCACAGTTCCCGAAGGAGCGTGCCGTTAGGTTCCTTGTGTTTACAATGTGAATTGTACCTCAATGTTCAAACACGACTTGCGACTGACATAGAATAAGAAACATATTTTTATCGTTTAGTCTGGATGCTAATAATTGGTCCTTAATCGCAAATCGGAATAAAATGAGTACCAAGCTATTTTGTACTTTTCACTTATTGTTGCATCAATAGCTCAGATTTCGATCTGAAGTAGCCTACCACGCGGAAGAAATATCATTTAGCTCACTGCTCACCACAATGAAAGTAATGCTTTCATTTGCCTGGCTTTTCCCGACGTGCGTTTTATGTAATGTTTGCAGTGCACCAAGGCGTCAAAATATGCTTCGAAGGCTTGAAGCATTCTATTCGGGCAAAAAGATACGCCAACATAACACGATTACCCCGCGACTTCGACGAAACGTTATACTTTGGCTTTGGTTTCTCCCCTGTGGCATTCACCAGTGTCTTTTTTCGAGGCGCACTTTGGCTCTGAGAATGGGAATATCACCTGATCCACGTTACGTACTGATTCCAACCTCGGTCAACCAATTTCACGTAACAAGCCCTTACTCGTTGAGGCAATCACAAACGTTCTTTTATTCGCACTAGCGCAGGGGACGGTTGCTGTCATGACAACGGTGGTCGCAACTGGTGGGAAGAAGCATAGTGCGGTTTCAAAGCGTTGGCAGCGTAATTTGGATTCAAAAATAATAAAAACTGATGTCCTGGCCATTGACCAAACGATTAACGATTCGTGAACGACATCGTTTTATGATCCGCAAGTAAAGCGATTCTGTTGTATTAAAAGTAAATGTGAAGCAAAAATAAAATTATTAGTTCTCCAAAAAGAGCTGTGGACGCGGGACGGTGGGGGACTTATGGGATGATGTGGGATGAATCAATGCTGGATAATATCATAGGAGATTATTGATTTAATCAAACTAAATCATTACATTTGGACTGTGGATCGGCAAAAAATCGATTCATACAAGGGCAAAATTATCACTTGAATCAGATCTGAATTAACATAAGTTGTTCAGAGCATAAGCGGGGAGCATTATTCAAATAGATAAGACAGCAGTATTAGCATTATTCTTCGGAGGAAAACCAGGAGAGTGGAGATACAGTTGGGTTGATATTTCGGCAACATGCCAATACCCAAGGCCATGTAATAAGGTATGATCATGCGGGAATTTTTCCGGCACTTTTCCTTCACCATTACGGTGACGCCACAAAGTCGCAGCCTGGCATCACCGCGCCGCCTGCATCACCTTCGCGTCTGCTGCACCGGTGCACCTACTAAAACATGCATGTCATGATCGCCACAGGGCACTTTACGAAGCACTATGAGGAAATATGAGAGGGGATTTTTGCCACGCTGGTTGCATAATAGCGAACATAGGCCCAAGAACCAGGACCCCGTGTGTCATTGAGTCTACGGCGATGCATTGAAATTAGCCAGCCTACAGCTACTTAAATGTAGGTTGGCGAACCTGCCCAAGGTCCAGCCACTGCCAAAGGGGGAGCTGGGCGGTACCTGGATCATCAACCTACCTGTCGCGTTGAACCTCAGCACTATAAAGAATGACGCGCCGGGTTGCACTGGTGTGCGATTGAGGCAGTTTGAGACGACGGAAGTGGTACGCTGTCTGGCAGAACATAGGACATTGTGGACATTGCACATTGCGTCAATTATGTCACGAAGCCAGCGGAGGCCGTTGCGTGCAGCGTTAATCAAGATCAAGAAAGAAATAATAAAAAATGGATGTGGTCCACCTAGCCCGGGCGCACTTTTGGTACTCTGGTCATGCTAAGAACGTTTCATGTTCTGCATGAGGTACTCTATATCTACTCGCTTCTTCAGAACGCGTGTACGCGTTCAACAATTTCGGGTCTATCAAAGGCTGCGACGACAGTCCCTCACGATTTAAAAGTTGTTAGCGACGCGTCGCCTACATCCCGTAACCAGCACCTGCCTTGTTGCCTCCATGGCTACATCCCTGGCCGCTCCAACTCTCTTTCACAGTCCGTAGGTGGATTCAGGATTTGGTTAAGGGCGTACGGGACCCCACAGCATCGGAGAAGAACGTGAGTAGGGTGCATGCTCGACCGCCCACCCGGTTTGACCTGTTTGACCTGTTTGACCTGTTCTTGCTAGACCATCGGTCCCCGCTAGACCATTCGTCCGCGCTAGACAGGGCATCCCGCTAGACCACTTGTCCGCTAAAATAGCTGCCTCTGCCAGACTATCTGTCCCTCCCAAAGCAGCTGTCCTTTCCGGACCCCACGTTGCTCTCCGACTCCTCGTAACTGCCCGACCACCAGCCCGTACACGGAGATCTCGGCATAATTCGACCGCATTACTGCGTGGCAAGTCTGTTTGCTTGCGGCTTAGACGATCCAAAATAAGTCAGTAACCGGCTCCGGGATGCCTCCGGATCTTTCGCGACGCCCCGCCCCCTCACACCTACGCAGTCACCTAGCACGACTCGCAGTATTTAAGAGGCCCGCGGACCACCTGCAGCCACCAGTTCGACCGCTGTGAGCATTCGAGAAGATTCTTCATCATGAAAATGGTTTGTTGAGCAGATCGTAAAAATGAAACGTTTCACTTCTGTTTTTCGCATTTTCCAATTTATTTAACGATTGTGGGCTGAATAGCATTCTCGCATGCTATTTTTGGCTATTTTGATTTGTTGCTGTTCACAAGATACGAATCTTCCTCCAATGCTACAGCGCTGCATTGGAGTCATCATAAGGCATGGTATAACGAAGGCAACAATTTATTTTCATTAATTATTGATGTCTAGCACCCAAAAGTGCTCTGACTTTTGGTATCACTGTAGAGAAAATATGACGCAGAAGTAAATGTTAACATACGTACCTACTCATACTGCCTTGTCAAAGTGTTTCAAAGTGCAAAAATGTCCTGTTATTAAGGCCTTATTAAGGCCACTGACCGTCGTTCGTGTTCTTTCAGTGAAGCTAACACCGTACTTTGGCTGTTGGTCAAGCCTTATCATCAAGGCAGGCATCGTTCTGAACATAAGGGTCGCCATTCGGGTGGGAGCCATGGCGCTTAGAATCACTTGAAAAACTCGAACTCACCTGTTTATAGATTCTGTGGGTCCGAGTCCACATCATCGGATTTTAGCCAGAGCTCCAGTAGTTGGTGCTGAGCCGGGCGTTCGTTGGATATTTTGCATTGACTCTTACCTTTTGTCCAGCAGTTTCCGTTATCTCTGACGAAGCCCTGTCCGGCATTTTTCTGATTCACGTTTTGTCCGACAGTTTATGCTCGCCTGTCTGGTGGCTGTGGCCGCTGCTGCGCCACAGCAGGTCTTTGACGAGTTCGGCAACGTTGTGGTGGAGCAGTTCAGTCTGCCCAAGATCCGGCTGATTTCACAGCGGTTTGTACAGGACGGTCGAGGCAACTACGAGTACGGATACGAACAAGACAACGGACAGAAGGTGAGCGGAGGGAGGCGAGCAACGCTGCACTCTAGCCTGTTAAAACTGAATCCAACGCACGCAGTTATTGTGGCAATGTGTGCTGGGACTCATGGGTTTCGCTTTGCTTTTCAGCTCATGCGTCTGTGTTTTTGCTGCCCACGTGCTGTGTGCATCTGTTGAGATGTTTTGCATCAAACTCCTTGCGTGTGGATAGCTGTTTGTACAAAAATGCCACGACTGGTTGTCTAGTGGTCACCGCTCCGCCGTCTCAGCCCAGCATCTAACCATCGCATCGCGTCACCTGCTCGGCCACGACATCCCAAGATGACGGCCATCCTGTCCCCTGTCTCCTGTGCTCTTACCCTCTGCACACGTGAAGCAGATGTGGTGCACCTACACGGAACACGAGGCAGTGAGGGGCTGATGGTGTGTGTCTCTTCACAGGTGGAGGAGGTGGGTCGCAGCTTCCCGGGACCCGAGCCGGGGACGGGTAGCATCAGCAAGGACGGCAGCTTTGAATTTATTTCGCCCGAGGGTCTGAAGTTCCGTGTCGACTACCAGGCCGATGAGGGCGGCTTCAAGCCAGTGGGCGACCACCTGCCCGTGCCGCCGACGCAGCTCCCGGAGTACGCCCAGCTGCGGGCCCAGAACCCAGAGCTCTTCATCCCATCCCCGTAGAGGCCCTGGCAGCGTTTCCGGGAGGGATGTTCGGGGCAGCATGAAGGCTCGCGAGACGCCTTGCATCGGGACCAGTCACCAACACCTGTGTCGTCAGCGTTTTGTGCTCCGACTCGCATGCCACCCAAGCTCTGCTTAATGGCTGCGAAAGCCTGTCTGTGAATGTCTCCTGTCCCGTGACGAGTCGTTGTGCGCCGAAGGCAAGCATCGCATTATGTGTGATAGAAGTGGGTTTGAGTTCCCGAAATTTAGTTCGCAGTGCAACTGTAATAAACTGGCCGTGTTTCCTTTACATCAAGGCACAATGGATTCTGTAAAGCCGGGAGCGGAGAAGGCGGTTTTGCGCCGTTGGAGGTTGGCATTCGATCTTGGAAGGTGATTTCACCGCCAGTGCGCTAGGCTCGCAGCTATCTCAGAGTGACAAATAGCATATACAGGCGGTGTAAATGCTTTCTTCGACAAGCATCCCAGTCACTGGGAGCCAGGCGTCTGGTCGGACCGTTATCGAGCCACGCCGAAACACATTGAGCAAACCTGTTTCTTATCATTCTTCCGTTTAAGAAACGACCTGTGCAGTGCAGATGCCTGAGGATGTGTGTCCATAGGTCGTGGAAAAGTTGCATATCCATTTCTGTCCTAATGGGGGGGGGGGGGGGGTCATAATCACCCGCCACCTCGCAGAACACGCCCTGATCGTGAGTCATGCTCGGTCACCAGTCGCCTCGCAGAACTCGTCCAGATTTGGGGTCATCATCGGTCACCAGCCACCTCAAAGAACTCGCCCTGATCGGGGGGTTATCACTTCACCAGCCACCTCACAGAACTCGCCCTGATCGGGGGGTTATCATTTCACCAGCCACCTCACAGAACTCGCCCTGATCGTGGGACATCATCAGTCACCAGCCACCTCAGAGAACTTGCCTGGCTGGCTGGTAGACCATTTCTTTGGTAGAACAATATTTTCCGGGAAATGTCGTCTTTACCTGATAGATTTCGGGGGCGTTTTCCTGAGCAGCACATAGAACTTGATAATCTCAGTAATAATTTTTTATTTAGCATCGAGTCCTCTTGGGTTGTTGAGTCTTTAGCATCGACCTCTTAGTCTAACTTGGGTTGTATTTACCTGTCACATCATTACCCTTACTCCGTTGGGGTGGGGCTCTTACCCTCCTAGCTCTGGGGGGAAGGTGGGTTAGATTCGCTTGCATACATGTTTGATTACTATATATATATATATATATATATATATATTACTTGTGTGTGGGGGCAGAACTACTCATTTTTCTTTGATAATCCCCAACTAATTTTGCAGCACAATACACCCGCACCATATCTATCTTACCCTCACCTCCACGCCCACACCATACAAAATGTGATACGATGAGCATCAAATATTAATGCATGGCTATGCATCGGCTGATTATCCCTCGACCCCCTCCCCCTTCCCCCCCCCCCACTGCTTGCAGTTTGAAGGGGGCCATAAGCGGCGAGACGAATTGAGTTTTAACATGAAATGTGAAAATTGCACACAGGGGCCTGAGTCCCCACCCCCTAGAATGCTCCTTTGATTATCCCCAATGAATGTGAGCAAAAACGGAATATTGGCCGAACAAATACTGAACAATTATCTTTAGTAGTATGTCAGGCAGTAGGCTAGAAAAGAGAAGAAACACAACATTATTAGTACCATGTTAACATTGAACCAAATAGCATTCTGCTAGTGCACTATGTTTTTGTTGTGCTAACACCTTCGTACATCAAGCCAGTACCAAATAGCATTGCACACCAGGTACACAGTTGGTACACAGTGTTTTGTCGTGCTAACGCCTTCGTACGTCAAGCCAGTCTGCAAATATCTGACAAGCTTTTTTCCAAGGGCAATGCCTGGATTGTGATCAGGAACAATTAACCGTAAAATTCCGCAATTTTTAGGGGTACAGGGTGGCCCAGATAAGAGTTAGCGTATGAAATCGTGGCTGTGGTAGTTAGACAATACGATCAGGGACAGTAGTGGCAATCAGTGATCCGTTTCTTAGACAAAATGGAATGTTTTTTCAGGCATAACACCATATTCTAAGTTTTTCGAAAGAAGACAGTCCACATTACCGTGAAACAGGAAGTCATTCCTTCGCAGGAAACAATTTTAAATCAATGAAATATTATAGTTCTTAGATTAATTATGTTCATACCAAGCGCACAGCTTCAATGTTAGGCTAGTGATATGTTTTTTCTCCTATTGAGTTCCAACTTTACTTAACGTGATGGTTATCGATGCATTGTAAAAGTTAGAAGTGTACAGCAATGTCATCTGACCAACTCGCGAAGAACGACAAGTGCGAGACATTCGCCGACATATTCGTCATTCGCACATTTTGTCGGTATCCTGAAGGAATATCTACATACCTGTTTTTAAGGCTAGAAATACTGGATTCAGGGCCAAGAGTACAGTTCCCGATGGAGTGTGCCGTTAGGATCATGGTGTTAACGATGTGAATTGCACCCCCATATTCAAATTTGATTTCCGACTGACAAAGTAAAAAACCATTTCTCTGTTGTTTAGCCTGGACGGTAATATTTGGTCCATAATCGCAAATCGGTGTAAAGGGAGCATCCAATCTGTTTTGTAATCTTCACTTATTGTTACATCAGACACGTACAATTTGATCAGTAATACCAGTATTCTTGAAATATTTCTGAATAGCTCAGATTTGGATCTGAAGTAGCCCACCATGCAGAAGAAATATAATTTAGCTCACTGCTCACCGCATTGGAAGTAATGCATTTCATTTGCCTTGAGTTTTGCAACGTGCGTTTTCTGGAATGTTTGCAGCACACGAAGGTGTCAAAAAGTTTGTGTATGAAATGCTTCGAAAGCTTAAAACACTCTATTCAGGGAAAAAGATACCCCAAGATAACACGATTACCCCGCGACTTCAACGAAACGTGATAATATGGCTTTGATTTCTCCGCTATGGCATGTACCAGAGCCTTTTTCGAGGCGCACTTTGACTTTCGGAATGGGAATATCACTTGATCCACGTTACGCACTGGTTCCAACTTCAACCAACCAATTTCACAGTAAAAGACCGTTGTTCGTTGGGGCAATCACAAGCCTTAGTTTATTCGCATTAGTACGGGGAACGGTTGTTGCCATAACGACGGTAATCACGACTGGTGGGAAGAGGCAAAGTGCGGCTTCAAAGCGTTGACAGCGTGATTTGGGCTCGAAAATGGTTAAAAAAATGATGCCCCTACCATTGTTTTACGGGGCGCGATACGAAACCTCACTGTAGTTACGAAGCCGTATCCGCATGATTAATGAAGATAACAAATATGTCATGTCCTCGCAGACGCAAGGACTGCCATGACGCTGCTTGGTTTACATTTTTCTCACTTGCTGTGTATGCCTAGTAACGCATGCAACATTTCGGAATCGGAAAAACTCAAAATATCCACTGAGGAACTTTTTAGCGCGCAGCAAGGTGCGATAATTTTTTGGCGCCGCGATTATCTAATTTTATCAATTGTCGACACTTCGTCACCGTGCTGACAACGATGTAAAAATGTAATAAGTATGATACGGAGTCCGGGCCTTCTGTTCTTAATGCCAACCGGCTTTGTGCCTTATTTCACCACAATGACGCCGGAAAATGCTGGTAAAAAGTCGTTGCTGGCAGCACCTTTAGCACCGATCACGCCCCAGTCAGAACGGGGCATAGTCCTACGAGAGGTAGTGCAACGTGCGGTCTGGCTATAATCAGCACCAAGGCCGAGCTCACAAGAGACAACGCAGGACCGAACGAAATTATGCACCAGACTTATGTTTGATTCAAGATGAATCGGTTAACGATTCGTGAATGACATCGTGTTATGATTCGCACGCAAATGGATACTGTTATATTAAAAGTAAATGTGAAGCATAAATCCAATCCTTGGTTTTTCCAAAAAGAGCTGCGGGATGTGGGACGATGGGGGAGTTGTGGGACGATGTGGGACGAATCAATGCTGAATCATAGCATATGTTAGATTATTGTTTTAATCGAATTCAATAATTGCATTTGCAGTGTGAATCGGCAAAAAATTGATCCATAAAAGGGTAAGATCATCACTTGAATCACAGCTGAGCTTATCATCAGGGGCTATGAATCAGTGATAAATCAGTTCTAAGAAATCAATCAAACACCGGTCGGTTAGAGACCTTGAAAATATGACTTGGTTATTGACTGTATTCGTCTGTTGCAAAACTTTTCGTTGCTTTATGAAAGAAATGGTATGGCGTGAGTCAAGTTCCACACCCAGCGGAAGACGCATTGGGGCCACCTAAACATGGAGCATACCCAAGCAAAGGAATGTAAGCTTTCATTTTTATTGAGCAACCCGCGAGGAACCCGAATATTGCAAGGTACCGAATGATCGAATCTGTGATTGCACGTTCTGGCATTTTCAGTGGGAGAGTATTCCCATGGTGAGGATTCTCGCGTTTCGTGTTAGATTTGCTATTATCACGGCATTCTAAAAACTTTTCGGGAACATTGCGCTTCAAACAGACACACTGGAGAAGCCTACTGACTGCTCTTACGCCGCGCCTCAAACAGGTGCAGCTACGAAAGAGAAACGGGAAACAGGTCAGAAGAATAACGGCTGAGCTTCTTCCTCTCTGAGAAGCTACCGTTAGCCCTATGGGTGATGACTAGAATGAAATAATAAAAAAGGGATATCGGCCATCTAGCCTGTGCGCACTTTCGGTCCCTGATCATGCCAAGAACGTTCCACGCTCTGTATGAGGTTCTCTATATCTACTCACTTCTTCACATCGCGTGTACGCGTTCAACAATTTCGGGTCTATCAAAGGCTGTGACGACAGTCCCTCACGATTTAAAAGTTGTTAGCGACGCGTCGCCCACATCCCGTGACCAGCATCTGCCTTGTTGCCTCCATGGCTACATCCCTGGCCGCTCCAACTCCTTTTCACAGTCCGCAGGTGGATTCAGGATTTGGTCAAGAGGGTACGGGGCCCCACAGCATTGGAGAAGAGCGTGACTGCACTGCTTGCTCGACCACCTGCCCTGTTTGACCTGTTTGACCTGTCCCTGCTAGACCACCGCCCCCCCCCTCCCCCTAGACTATCCGTCCGCGTGGACCATCCGTCTCTGCTAGACTGTTCGTTCCCGTTAAACCACCCATCCCGCTAGAGCACTTGTCCGCTAAAATAGCTGCCTCTGCTAGACTATCTGTCCCTCCCGAAGCAGCTGTCCTTTCCGGACCCTACGTTGCTCTCCGACTCCTCGTAACTGCCCGACCACCAGCCCGTACCCGGAGATCTCGGCATAAGTCGATCGCATCACTGTGTGGCGAGTTTGTTTGCTTGTGGCCGAGGAAACCCAAAATAGGTCAGTAATCGGCTCCGGGATGCCTCCGAAGGATCTTTCGAGCCGGCCCGCCCCCTGACACCTCCTCAGTCACCTAGCACGACTCGCAGTATTTAAGAGGCCCGCGGACCACCTGCAGCCACCAGTTCGACCGCTGTGAGCATTCGAGAAGATTCTTCATCATGAAAATGGTAAGTAGGGTAGATCGTAAAAATGAAATGTTTCACTTCTGTTTTTCGCATTTTTCAATTTGATCAACGACTGTGGGCTGAAGAGCAATCTCGCATGCTATTTTGGCTTGTTTGCTTTGTTGCTGTCCACAATGTACAGATATGTCTCCCATGTTATAGCGCTGTATTAGAGTCAGCATCAGGCATGGTATAATTGAGGCAATGTGCTATGTTCATAAATTCTTGTCGTCTTGTGCCCAAAAGTGCACTGAACTTCAACATCACCGTAGAGGAAATACGAAGCAGAACTAATTGTTTAAATACGCGCTTACGGACATTGGCATGTCAAAGTGTTTCACTGTGTAATAAAGTTATTTTGTTAAGGTTTACGCCTTATTTGGGCCACTGAACATTAATTTACATGCTTTCATTAAAGTTCAAACCGTATTTTGGCTAATGGTCAAGCATTACCATCCAAGAAGGCACCGGTCTGAGCATAAGAATCCCCATTCCGGTGGGAGCCATGGTGCTTAGAATCACTTGGAAAGCTCGAGTCCATGGGTCCGAGTCCACATCATCGGATTTCAGTCAGAGTCCCGGTAGTTGATGCTAACCCTTGTGTCCGTTGGATATTTTTCATCGACTGTTATATTCTGCCCAGTAGTTTGCGTTATATCTGACGAAGCCCTGTGCGGCGTTTTGTGCTGACTGACGTCTTGTCCGGCAGTTTGTGCTCGCCTGTCTGGTGGCTGTGGCCGCTGCTGCGCCACAGCAAGTCTTTGACGAGTTCGGCAACGTTGTGGTGGAGCAGCACAGTCTGCCCAGGATCCGGCTGATTTCACAGCGGTTTGTACAGGACGGTCGGGGCAACTACGAGTACGGATACGAGCAGGACAACGGACAGAAGGTGAGCGGAGGGAGGCGAGTAACGCGGCACTCTAGTCTGTTGAAACCGAATCCAACGCACGCAGTTATTGTGGGAATGTGTGCATGGACTCATGGGGTTTTGCTCTGCTTTTCGACGCATACGTCTATGTTGTGCTGCCCACGTGCTGTGCATATCTGTTGAGATGTTTCACATCAAACCCCCGGCATGGGGAAGCTGACTGGATATAGCTGCCACGACTGGTTGTCTAGTGGTCACCGCTCCGTCGTCTCAGATATAGCTGCCACGACTGGTTGTCTAGTGGTCACCGCTCCGTCGTCTCAGATATAGCTGCCACGACTGGTTGTCTAGTGGTCACCGCTCCGTCGTCTCAGATATAGCTGCCACGACTGGTTGTCTAGTGGTCACCGCTCCGCCGTCCCAGATATAGCTGCCACGACTGGTTGTCTAGTGGTCACCGCTCCGTCGTCTCAGCCCAGCATCTTACCATTGCATCACATCACCTGCTCGGCCACGACATCCCAAGATGACGGCCATCCTGTCCCTGTCTCCTGCCCTCTTACCCTCTGCACACGTGAAGCAGATGTGGTACACCTACACGGAACACGAGGCAGTGAGGGGCTGATGCTATGTGTCTCTTCTCAGGTGGAGGAGGTGGGTCGCAGCTTCCCGGGACCCGAGCCGGAGACGGGTAGCATCAGCAAGGACGGCAGCTTTGAATTTATTTCGCCCGAGGGTCTGAAGTTCCGCGTCGACTACCAGGCCGATGAGGGCGGCTTCAAGCCGTCGGGCGCCCACCTGCCCGTGGCGCCGACGCAGCTCCCGGAGTACGCCCAGCTGCGGGCCCAGCACCCGGAGCTCTTCATCTCATCCCCGTAGAGCCCTGCCAGCGTTTCCGGGAGGGAGGTTCGGGGCATCATGAAGAGTCGTGGGACGCCTAGCATCGGGACCATTCACCAACACCGGTGTCGTCAGCGTTTCGTGTTGTGCCTCACGTGCTACCCAAGCTCTGCCTAATGGCTGCCAAAGCCTGTGAATATCTCCCGTCCCGTGACGAGTCGCGCGCCGAAGGCAAACATCGTACCACGTGTGGGTTTGAGTTCCCGAAATTTAGGTCACAGTGCAACTGTAATAAACTGGTCGTGTTTCCTTTACATCAAGGCACAATGGGTCCTGTAATGTCGTGCGCAGAGAAGGCTGTTTTGCGCCGTCAGAGGTTGGGATTCGATTTTGGAAGGTGATCCCATCGCCAGTGCGTTATGCTCACTGCCATCTCAGAGTGGCAAACAACATAGACACGCGGTGCCAACGGACCCTTCGATAAGCATCCCAGCCACTGTCAGCCAGGCGTTTTCATAGACCGTTATCGAGCCACGCTCAAACACATTGAACAAACCCACTTCTTATCATTCTTCTGTTTAGGAAACGACCGGTGCAATACAGATGCCTACTTGAGAATACGTGTCCATAGGTCATGGGAAAACTTGCATATCCGTTTCTGCCCTAATGGGGAGGGGGTGGGGCCATAATCACCAGCCACGTCGCAGAACTCTCCCTGATCGGGAGTCAACAGCAGTCGCCAGCCGTCTCACGAACTCGTCCTGATCGGGGGTCACCCTCGGTCATCAGCCCTTTCACAGAACTTGCCCTGATCGGCGGTCACCCTCGGTCATCAGCCATTTCACAGAACTTGCCCTGATCGGGGGTCACCCTCGGTCATCGGCCATTTCACAGAACTTGCCCTGATCGGCGGTCACCCTCGGTCATCAGCCACATTACAGAACTTGCCTGGTACGGTAGAACAATATTTTCCAGGATCTTCCGTCTTCACCGGATAAATTTCAGATACGTAGTCCCGAGAGCACGTAAAACTTAATAATCTCAGGAATATTATTTTTTTTTGTAACTTTGATGACCAGCCTGTTAGTCTAACGAGGGTTGTAGCTATCCTTTTCAGCATTACCTACTCCTACTACGTTGGAGTGGGGTTTTTACCCTCAAAACTCTGGGTGGGTTAGAATGGCTTAGATACGTGTTTCATTAAGGTATGTATGTATATTTATATATATATATATATATATATATATATATATATATAGGTATATTATGCTCGGATATGGGCAGAATTAGTCATTTTTCCCTCATACTCACCAGCTTATTTTGCACCATAATACATTGCATCAGATCTGCTTTGCCGTCACCTCCTCGCCCAAAACACTAAAAAAGTCTGGCACGATAAAGATTAAATATTGATAACGCTACCAATGTGCATCGTCTGGCTGTCCTTTGTCCTCCTCTCGTCCCCCCCCCGCACCCGCTTGTCCACTGCTTGCAGGTCGAAGAGAACCATAAGCGGAGAAACTGGATTGAGCTTTTAACATTAAAGGTGAAAACTGCACACAGAGGCATGATACTTTTTCAGCGGCCTAAGCCGCCACCTCCTACATTGCTACTTTGATTTCCCTCAATGCATATGGGCAGTGCTGGGCCAAATAAAAACCGAGTAATTAGTCTTAACTATTAGTATGCCAGGTAGTAGATACTTGAACACATCACTCTTAGTACCATGCTTATTTTTTACCAAATAGCATTCGTTTGGTAGTTATGCTTTTGTCGTGCTAACGCCATGCATCAAGCCCGTCTGCAAATTTTTGACAAGTTCTTTCAACTGATAATGCCTGGTTTGGCAGAGGCCGGAATCAGATTAGATGAGTGGTGTACCTGATTCCGGGCGTGTGGTTTCAGGCTGTTGTGGGTCTGCGCGCACAAGACGAATTTGCTCCGGCTCAAGCCCAGAATGTGCAAATAGCGTAATTTCAGACCAGAGGTATGTTACTTTCCTTGTTGAGCTCCAGCTTGACTTGACGTGATGGCTATCGATGCCCTGTGAAGGTTTGGAGTGTATGGCGTCATCATCTAAGCGACTGGTGAAGAACGACACGTGCGTAATGTCGTTTGAAACGTCATTCAGACATTTCGTCGGAATCCTGAATGTATATCTACATGACCGCTTCTAAGGCTAAAAACAATGTATTCAAGGCCAGGGGCACACTTTCCGAAGGAGTGTACCGTTAGCTTCATGGTGTTTACTATGTAAGTTGTACCCCAATGTTCAAATGTGACTCGCGAATGATATAGAATAAAGAATATATATTTATTGTTTAGTCTAGGCGGCAATAATTGGTCCTTAATCGCAAATCGGTTTAAAGGGAGAATCCAACCTATTTTTTACTTTTCATTGATTATTACATCAATAGCTTAGATTTGGATCTTAAGTAGCCCAACATGCAGAATAAATGTAATTTAGCTTACTAGTGCGCCTATTCGAGGCGCACTCTGGCTTTGGGACTGGGAATATCACGTGATCCACGCGACGCACTAGTTACAACTTTAACCAACCGATTTCACCGTAACAGATCGTTTGCGCGCTAGGGCAATCACAAACGTCGTTTTATCTGCACTGGCACGGGGGACGGTTGTCGTCATGACGACGGTGGTCGCAACTGGTGGGAAAAAGCATGCTGCGGTTTCAAATTGTTGACAGCGTAATTTGGACTCAAAATAATAAAAACTGATGCCCTAACCATTGACGTACGGAGTGCGAGCCGATACATGACTTTACGAGGTCATAGCCGCATGATTGATGAAGATAACAAATAACGTCAGCTTTTCAGTGCATTAGCGAGGAACATTATTCACATAAATAAGACAATAGTATTAGCCTTATTCCTCGGAGAAAACCAGGAGAATGGAGATATTGTTGGGCTGATGTCTCGGCAAAATGCCTTTATCGAAACAATAGCAGAAAATGTCATTGTCGAAACAATAGTGCTTCTGCTGTTCTTTCGATAAAGGCATGTTACCGAAATATCAACGCAACTATATTTCCATTCTCCTGGTTTTCTCTGGGGAATAAGGGTAATACTACTGTCTTATCTATGAAGATAACAAATATGTCATGCCCTCGCAGACACAACGAATGCCATGACGCTGCTTGGTTTATGCTTTTTTTTTGGCGCAGCGATTACCTAATGTTACCAATTGTCGACACTTCGTCACCGTGCTGATAACGTATGCAAAAATGTGATCAGTATTATTCGGAGCCCCGCGACCTTCTTTTCTGAATACCAACCGG